CAGTTTTGTACAAAAAGGGATACGATGTGGTTGCTGTCACTCTTGAGGTAAGACTTTGCAGCAAAATTAGTTTTCAAGTATTCTATTGCATGTCTCTCATTACCTCGAAAGCTGAAAGTGGAATGTGTGAGTTAGGTCTGACAGTTCTAACAGATTTAATGATAGTTTCATGTTTCTGCCTCTCACTGACTCCTAATGATTACTTCATAAATTTTTAGTAGGCGCTTCATGTGCAACAAATAAATAAGTTAGTTAATCAGTCATATATCGTGGAACTTTTCTGAACTCTGAGAACCAGTTCTCGTTGAGTATCTACTAGGCTGAGCATGCGCTGTACGCCCTAGTAGGACGTCACACTAATATTCATCTTATCTCAATGTTTGCGCGAAGTTACATTGTTTATAGGTAGGTGATTATGTTCTCTCCCCTGGAATAGCTGTGGAGAGAAAAGCACTTGATGATCTGACACAATCTCTCCAATCTGGAAGAGTTTTCAAGCAGTCTGAGCAGGCAAGACTTTTCATCACTTCACAACTTGTCATTTGATCACTTTATTTTCAGATGTTACGGCATTATGCTAACTCGGTGCTTTTGATTGAGTCAAATCGGAAGTTTGAGTCAAAAATCGTTAACGGTGGTCCTTTCCAGGTAGGGTATCAAGAATGTGTGCTCGAGGAAAGTTTTGCTTTTAGGGAGAACTGACGCGACATTGTCGCGAAATAAGAGCTCTACTCTGTTCGCTGTTACGAGCCACTCCTAAGCTGAAGTTGATATGGTCACTGTCACCAGCAAATTCTGCTGAATACTTTGCGGAAATGAAAGTAAGCCCGGAGACATAGTTGCTTTGGTAGCTGGATATGAAATGAATACCTTTAGCTCAATCGAGCTGAGCCTGATCCGGAAAAAGCTGTTTCCTTGCGAGGGGATGATGTCTTCAAACAAATCGAAGGTTGAAGTGATTTTCACTCACAAGTGAGATTCTAGCCTTTTTTAGAAGAGACACACGACACCCCAGAGAAACGAAAGAAGCCCAACGCTGTTCTACTCAGACATATGGCTCAGCATCTGCCTGGCATGGGAAGAGGAGACGTGCAAACGATGATGCTCAGTCAGAAGGTTCATACGCTAGTCATTCCATTCAATGGCATTCATGCCGTGTGATTTTTTAGGTAACGAGTCTGAAGGAGTTGTTTACGATGTCTGCAGAACGACTACATGCTGCCATTGGCGTTCATGCTGATAGAATTAGTGTATTTTCAAATTTTGATTTTAGCTCTAC